ACACACACACACACACACACACACACACACACTGCTTTAGAAACAGTGGTGTGGTTCTGACAGAAACTGCTTATCTTCATCCGTCATGTGGTCCACCAGATGTGGTCCACCAGATGTGGTCCACCAGATGTTCTCACTGTTCTTTTCAAAGAGGCGCTGTAACCTGAGGCCGTCTCACATCCCAGATGCTGTCCAGTCAGATCCTGGTGGGCTCAGTGGACTGTCAGCGCTTCCAGGTGTTGTGTCAGAGTCAAGGTGTGAGGGCGTACCCTGAAATACGCCTGTACAGCACCAAGCAGCCGGAGCGTTACACGTATGTAGTGTTCTCCTCAACATGGAAGATGTGTTAGAAATAACTGTACGTTGTAGTAATTTATCAGATGTTTACATCCAGTGAAACTCTTCTACTTGTACCTGACTGACAGTTGTTGTGTTGTGAAACAGCAGGGTGTAAATGTGTGTTTGTGTACAGGACTTATAATGGTTGGCACAGAGACGCACATTCACTCAGATCCTGGGCGCTCAGGTTAGTCTAAGTCCTGTTTCATTGTGTTTTATCATTCTTTTTGTCTTTCCTTTGATCTCTGTCTTTTTTTGTCTCTACCTTGTCAGTTGTGACCTGAGTGTGTTTTTTTGTGTGTCTGTTAGCAAAACATCTTGTGAACTGCTGGATGGATTCTAATGAAACTCTTAGAAATGCATCATTGTTTCTCTTCTTTCCATCTTTCTTTTCTTCCTTTATGTTTATTCTCTCCATCTTTCATGAATCAATGTGCGAGTTTGACTCCTCTTGTAGCGGTTTGTTTGAGCTGAGTGTGTTTGTGTGTGTTTTTGTGCAGCGCTTTGCCTCGAGCATCTGTGGATCTGACTCCAGACACCTTCAGGTCTCAGGTTCTGTCTGGTCGGGGTCACTGGGTTTTGGACTTTTATGCCCCCTGGTGTGGACCCTGTCAGCACTTTGCCCCTGAGTTTGAGGTCCTTGCTCGGGTCAGACACTTTGTGTTTTTGTAAAKTGTAACATTAAACGTAACAGAGCTTGTGTGTGTGCAGAGGTTCACAAACAACATGTTTGTTGTGTGACTGACAGATGCTCAAAGGAACGGTCCGATCAGGGAAGATGGACTGTCAGGTTCATTATCAGACCTGTCAGAGCGCTGGAGTCACTGCATACCCTACAGTCAGGTTTTACCCTGACCTGGGAGCAAACAGGGTAAGAACACACACACAGACACACACACACACACAGACACATACCCTACAGTCAGGTTTTACCCTGACCTGGGAGCAAACAGGGTAAGAACACACACACAGACACACACACACACACACAGACACACATACCCTACAGTCAGGTTTTACCCTGACCTGGGAGCAAACAGGGTAAGAACACACACACAGACACACACACACACACACACACACACAGACACATACCCTACAGTCAGGTTTTACCCTGACCTGGGAGCAAACAGGGTAAGAACACACACAGACACACATATACACACATATACACACATATATATACNTTTTCACACAGCTCCGTCCCTATTGATCTACGACTCCATGCGCTCACATATCACTGATAACGTTCAAAAACAAGTGAAGCGCACTAATTCAGTGCTAGCCGTCATTCCGGGTGGATTGACAAAAGAACTCCAGCCGCTAGATGTTGGCATCAACAGAGCTTTCAAAGCGAGACTGCGAACTGCGTGGGAGCAGTGGATGACAGAAGGCGAACACACTTTCACCAAGACGGGGAGACAGCGCCGGGCGACATACGCCACTATCTGCCAGTGGATTGTAAATGCCTGGGCTGATATATCAGACTCAACAGTGGTCCGAGCTTTCAAGAAGGCAGGAATTGTCACTGAGCTGACAGACAACAACAGAGACGCTGACTCGGTTAATGACGACTTTGATGAGACGGAGCCGGGCGTGTTGGATGCCGCATTAGCCCAGCTGTTCAATTCCGACACCGAAGAAGAA